AGATACTATACTGCGTCTGAAGGCGACTCACCCAGCAGATACTATACTGCGTCTGGAAGCGACATATTTGGAGGTGTGTCATCCTACAGAAACTTTACTGTCTCTGGAACCAACATTGCCTTTCCTTCCAACTACAAGCATTTCCATTCCATACATCTCCTTTCTTTTTAAAATTTACCATCTCTGAAGCAAATTCACTTTCTCTGAACAGACTCCATAGGGCCTCCCCAAGGAGCCAGTACACCTCGTGTTCCTACTCCTGCTATTGATTATAAGTCTGCTTGTGAAAACGTTATAGTGATTTGGATATGGGTTGAGAGCCCACATCCATGGGGAGAGATTGAGGTGATTGGGTGGGTGTGTGCAGTTGATTTTTTTCCTTTTATTACTTCTTTTAATTGCATGCTTGCTTGCTTTTTCCTTTTTTTAATAGCAAAATTGGTTTTCATTTATTTCTATTACAAACCATTCATATCCTGTAATAGGCTTTTTTTTTCAATCATAACCATTTGCAATCAGTGCATTTCCTTGGTTTGTAAATCCCATTTTTCCTCAAGAGATAATATTCAGCCTCGTGTTTCAGCCCTAGGAGCTCGTACACCTCCTGGTCATCCTGCTCCTTCTTTTAAGTCACTTTTTCAAGCAATTGTAGTCACTGGGATGTGGGTTCCTAGCTGCCATCTCCCTTCCTGCTGCACAGCTTCTGTAGGCCTATCCCGTAACACTTAATTATAAACACAATGGAGCTTTAAACCTCATGCAAACAGAAATGTTATAATACTTTTTAAGATGTAGGCTAACACAGGGATTAAAATTAATACTGGAGGATTTTTTTTCCCTATGTGTCCTGTATTTGCTTAGATATTTTTTTTTTTAGTCTGGGTTTAGCTGATTGGTTGTTTGGATTCTTTTTGGTTTTTCAAAGTGGTCCTTGTGGTTGGGTGGTGTTTTAGTTTTGATTTATTTTTTTAGTATTTCTTTTAATTACATTTCTTAAACTAAGTCCCTTCTCCTTTCTTTCTGTTTTAAACCATTAACATTTTTATAATAACTTTTCCTTTCAACCACAAGCATTTCAGGTCTAGTGTTTACTTGTTTGTTAAAACTTACTTTTTTTCAACAGGTAATTTTCAGCCTTCAATTTCATCCCACGCAGCCAGTACACCTGCTACTCCTACTTCTCCTGATGGTAAGTCTGCTTTTCAAGAAATTATAGTCTCTTGGATGCGGGTTTCTAGGCAGCATCTCCCTTCATGCTGAACAGATCTTGTACGTAAATACAACAATACTTTATTTTAAACATAAGGAGCAATAAAACGAGTGCTAACAGAAATGTGAGATTTTTTAAAGAGAGAATGAGGATGGTGAAACCTAACACAGGGATTAAAATTACTTGTGTAATTTTTCTTTTGGTTCTTGACTGCATGAAAAATTTTTGTTTTCAGTTTGGATTTGGTTGGTTGGGTTCTTTGGTTTTGGGGAGTGGTTCCGCTGGGTGGTTTGGTGTTGGGGCTCTAATTTTTTTGTTTTAAAATTATCTCCGCCTTCAACTTTTTTTTTTTTACTGAAGGCATTTCTTTTCTTTATGTGATAAATCATTGTAATAGCCTTCCCTTGCAAACATAACCATTTCAGTTTCATATATTTCCATAGTTTTAAAATTCACCTTCTCTGAAGTACATTTACTTTCTCTACACAGAATCATTTCAGCTTGTCTTCGTACCCCAAGGAACCATTTCACCTCGTACTCCTGATCCTAATGGTAAGTCTGCTTGTCAAGAAATTATAGTCATTTGGATGTAGGTTCCTTGCCAGCATCTTCCTTCATGCTGCACAACTTCTGAAGACAAATACAACAATACTTGATTGTAAACATAATGGAGCAATAACACTATCGCAGATATTTTGAAATAGTAATTTATTGCAACTATAGCCATTTCAAATCTGTGCATTCTTTGCGTTTAAAAATGTACCTCCTCTGAAGTAATTTTATTTTCTCTGAACAGCCTCTTTTCAGTTTCCGGTTTCAGCCCAAGCTGCTCGTACACCTCCTGCACTAGCACAAGCTCATGATGGTAAGTCTGCTTGTCAAATAATTGTAGTCACTGGGATGTCAGTTCCTAGCCAGCATCTGCCTTTATGCTGCACAGCTTCTGCAGTCAAATACAACAATCCTTAATTGTAAACATAATGGAGCATTAAAACTATTGCTAACAGAAATATTCTGAGACATTTATCAGAAGAGAAAGGGGTGGTGAAAGCTAACACAGGCATTAAAATTACTGCCGTGATTCTCTCCATTGGTGCCCAATAGCTTGGCTATTTTTGGTTTGGGGTTCTTTTTTGGTTGGTTGCTTTTTATGATTTTTTTGGTTTTCCAGAGTAGCAGTAGTGTGTGGGTGGCTTTTTGACGTTTTGAATTTTTTTCTTACTTTTTTTTTTTTTTTTGCCATATGCTTCTTCCTTTCATTATGTTACATACCATTAGCGTTTTTTAATCATATTCTCTTGCAAACACAACCATTTCAGTTCTGTGCTTTTCATTGCTTTTAAAAATTTACCTTCTCTGAAGTAAATGTATTATCTCTGAACAGATATATTTCAGGTGAGCTTTGGACCCAGAGCACCCCGTACACCTGCTACTTCTACTCCTGCTGGTAAGTCTTCTTTTTGAATGTTTTCTTTTCTAACTTAGTTTAATTACATTCTTTCTTTCATTCTTTCTTTTGTTCTTTCTTTCTTTTTAAGAGCCAAAGGCTTTTTCCTTTCTTTCTGTTATAAAACATTAACATTCAGAATAAGTTTGTTTCCTTGAATAAAAAACACAGCTTTGGAGTTAATATGATGAGAAATAAAAGATGTCTTTATGTGAATACTTGTAGCACTTCATTTAAAGTGCTATAGCAACTATTTACGGGCTAGGATACTTGTGCTAATGTCCTTTGTCTATTAAATATTTATATATAATAATCAGGTGCCATGTGTTTCAAAGAAGCATTTAAGGAGCAAACATCTAGAAGTACTTCACATACATGCCCTTGTAAGGAGCATTTAAGAGCAAACGTTAATTCTCTCTCGATTTGTTTTTTATCCTTTTGTTTACTCTAGCACAGCGGAGAGTGCCTAGACACAGAGTCCACACTGTGTCTGGAACCAACGTACCCCCCGTTGTGCTACCAGCCAGACCCTACAGTGTGTCTGACACCAACATATCCTCCAGTGTGACCACGGGCAGATTGTACAGTGCGTCTGACACCAACATCCCCTCCAGTGCGATGCCACGTCGAACAGGTTTTGGGTCATCAATGGAACCAGCCATCAACCTGATTCCAACCAGATCCAATATTGGGCCATCCATGGATGCATCGTCCCACACGAGACAAAACAGAGCTTTTACCATGCCCTCAAGCAACACGCCCTCCCACCTGACAGGAAACACAGCTGGTATTGGGTCTTCATCCTTCAGTTTCAGACCACGCAGAACCAGTTCTTTGCCTTCAGTAGCTCCTTTCAGGCGGGATGTGATACCCAGCACTAGAAGAAATAAGGAAATTTAATTATCAGATGTGAGAGAGTTCTTCATAGAAATACTAGCTTCTCTCCCGAAGAAAAACACTCCAGCAACACAAGATCTAAATAAAGTACAGTCTTACCTACTTTTGTGTTGTGGTTCACTGTAGATATTTTTTGTAATTTCATATTGTTATGAAAATGTCATCCATATCTTCACATTTCTGTGTTTCTAATTAAAAAGCACTTCTTTATATAACTCTTTTTATTGCAGTTTTTAATTTTTATGTAGTATATTTTAAAATGTTATAAAACAACACCTTTTGGGTAATTTTCCCCATTACTAAAAAATAATAAATCCACAAGCCATTTTAGTCTCTGTCTCTCAAAGTTGTTTCATATCCGTGTATTCTAAACCAGGATTTCCATACTTTAATAGGATTGAGAGAGGTCCATGATATGTACACCAGTGACTCCTCTTGTGGAAAGTCATGGCCCTGTGTTTGGTTTGAAAAGGCAGGTGTCTGCTAAGAGAGGAAGGAGCCTCCCTTGAAATCAAAAATGCAAACTCCCTCTCTCTGAATTATCATTTTGAAATTAAGGGGCTCTCAGGCAAAGACATGGGAGTAGGAATAGTAGTTGTTTCTTAGGAAAATTAAAACACAAATGCACTAGTACAAAAACAAACTACTGACAGAGTCAGAATATGCCCTGACACTCTGTTGGTCAGGGTGTTGGTAGCAGTCCAAAAATGGACAGCATGGTGGCTGTAGCTTTCTTGGAATGGTGGATGTGGTTCTTTTGAAGCAGTGATCCTGTAGAAGGGTGTAGTCTTCCTCTGAAGGTTCAGCGGTCGTGTAGATGCGCTTGGTCTTCTTCTGGAAATCTAGTGAAAAAAAAGCTGCTCTTCTGGGAATCTAGTGGGAAAAGTGCCTCTTTCCTGTGAGTCAGCTCCCCCCACCCTTCTTGCTGCTTCTCCTACCCCGACCACGGCTTCCCCTGCCCCCACTGCGCCCGCCCCCACTGCAGCCACCTCTGCTGCGGCTCCCCCTACCCCTCCTCCCGTTCTCCCCCCGCTCCCGCCGCAGTCCTTCCCATCCCCGCCACCAGTCCCTCAATCCCAGCCCCCACCCCTGCTGCTGCCACCTGCACCCGGGCGTGTATCCCCATCCCATCCCTGCCTGCTGCACTGGCAGGTCTCCCTGCATGCCGGCACACCCCAGCCGCAGCACACCACGCTGTACCCGCGGCAGCCCAGACCAATCCCACCGGCCCCTCTCCCCCGCTTCTCCTTTACCCCCACCCCAGGCTTTCCAGCCGCCCACCCACCCTCAATGTCACCCGAACGGAACCTCAGAGACCCCCCACGGTACCACCCCACTTCCTCAAGCCTGTGCATGTCATTCTGCTGCCCTTCCAGCTCCACTGCTGGCTCCCTCTGGCCAAGCTCTTTTGTGCCTTCTCTCAGCCATAAAAACCCCTGCAAAATCTCACTCCAACGCGCCATAAAAAGCATAGGCCACGGCCTGCTCGCTCTCATTCCTCCTCTAAGGACAGCAGTGGCAGTGACTCTGATTCTCATACAGAGGACATTGACCCATGGGCTCTCATTAAGATAGAAGCGACCAAGGCAGGAGACTGGCAGATGGCACAAAAAATTAACACCTTCTCCGTAGATTATAAAAAGGGAAAAAGAGAAGGAGCCACTAATAGAAAAACATGGGAACCTAACTCAAAGAAGGAACTCACACAATTAAGAAATATAGCCAAAGTACATGGCAGAAGTTCACATATTTTTAGACATTTCCTAGAAGCTATGTTCTCAACACATATTTTAGTACCCCATGACATTAAAAATATTGCCCACTGACTCCTTGCCCCAGCAGAATATATGTTTTGGAAAAGGCATTGGAAAAGACAATTAAAAACATTATTAGATTCATATTCTACAAATGCTGGTAAGTCTGATTTCACTGTTGAACAGCTGGCTGAGGAAGGGGATTTACAGAAACCCTCTGACCAAGCTGACCCCTTACCTAAGGAAGCATTACACGATGTGGCACTTGCAGCAAAAACTTCCTTGCTTCTTACCCCAGATAACTCTATCCCTACCCAACACTTTTCTAATGTTAAACAAGGAGTAGATGAAAGCTTTATCAAATTTGTGGACAGAATTAAAGATGCTCTGAAAAAACAGCACAGAGGCAAGAAAGGGGCTGTTATGCAAGCTTGCCATGAGTAACCCAAATGAACAATGCAAAACAATTCTGAGGTCTCGACCCTTGGATACAGAACCTACCTATTACATGCCCTGTTCTAAAAGACTTTTACACTGCTTTCCCTCTCTCTGTGTTTTCACACTTGTTCAACAAGGTTTTCTTTCTAAGAATATTAATCACAATATCCCAAAAAATGGTTGTGTATTTGCTCCCTAAGTATTTACAAAGGAACAATTAAAAACCAAAAAATCTGTATACATGCTGGATGTAAAATGCAAATAAAAATGAACTTGAGAATTCTCCCAAAAAACCTTAAGAAAAAAACCCCATGTATCCTGTAAAACCCAGAGTATCCATCTACAGAATACAAAAATGGGCACGTTCTAGAAGACAAAATTTGTAAAATGATTCTGCACAGAATTCTATGCTTTCAAGCTTTTTGCCCTTCAGGGGCAGTGCCATTCTCTGAACTGGAATGCTCTGAGCATGTTCTGCTCACCACGGCAACTTTCTGCTCTCCCCTGGTACAGATCATCCTCCCAGCAAAGGGGGAGTGCAGCCACCACAACTCGCAGCACTTTCCCACACAGCAAGAACCTGAAGTACAGAGATGGCTTTCACCAGCTCCTGCGGGTTCTAATAGTGCCACCTCTCGGCTGCTGAAACCCTGAATTTCTGTGTCGCGATGTCTTAGTTTATTGACTTAAATCTTCTGTTATCTTGTGGTGCGTTCAAGTGTTCCCCGAGTAATTACACTTCGGTCTCCCCTGTGTTATGATCTCCTACCCAAATGGCCGTCAAGGAATCTCCTCCCTCCTCCCTAGATTTTTCCCTGTCTGTCAAGACAACCCGGCCCCTTGGGCCCATCCATCAGCCCAAACCCTACCCTTTGTTCCAGAAAGTTCCCTGTCCCTCACCCCAAGATCCAATCCCCACCCCAACCCTGTCTCCTCCCCTTGTTCTGATTTGTTGTAGCCTTCAAAACCACACCATGAGAGTCGCTTATTGGTTACTATATGGTGTCCACCCCCTGTTTTGAAAGATTTTAAAAACCCGTGCACAGCAGGGATGGGAGTTGTTTTTAGTTTTGCTTGTTGTTTGCAATTCATTTCTATGTGCTTTTCTCCCGCCTTTTCTGATAAATCTGCTGTATTTTACACTGCAGAAGAGCTTCCTTTGTCTCCTTCACTTGGTCCTTGTTGGTGCTCTACAGGTCTCTACTGGTAGGCAATTAGCTTAGAGGTTCTGGCTCAGGCAAAACCCTAAGCTAGCCAGTTCCCCATTCTTGCCACTGTCCTTGGAACATCACAAAGCTAGCCAGGGCTCTGGAGGGACAGTGACCCATGCCCTGGCATGTCACAGCCCCCAGAGCCACACCTGCCAGGCCACAAGCCCCAGCCCTGGTCCCCACTGCCAACCGCAGCAGCTCCTGGGCATCTTCACCCTGAGTGCAAAGTGCAAAGGCAGCCACAGGTGCCCCCCAGAGCGCTCTGGATCCAGGCTGCAGACACCCTAAAGCCAGCACTGAGAGGGACATGGATGGGGACTGCAGCTGCATCTCCCAGTGCTCACCAGCTCTGACTGCTTGCTCAGTGCACCCAAACCTCACCTGCAGCACCTTGAGCACATTTACTCTTCTCGTCTATTCTGGAACGTGATGTTCCCCCATCCTCTACCAGCGCTTTGCAGGGAGTGATCAGCTCCCAGCTGCTCTGCTACCCTGGCCTTACTTTCTGTTTCCTAGCAATGAATTTAATGGATACACTCATGAGTATCCCCACACAGCATTTGTTTCTCAGGACCTCTTAGGCAAAAAAATTCCACTGATGACTAGTTTTTGCACAGAGGAGGAGGTGCTGACAAACATAAGGCACAAGCAGGGCTCGGGCATGAGAATTCCTGATCCACAGGATTCCACCCATTGGTGTTGCCAACTGCTTTGCTCGTATGTTACACCCAGTTTGGGACAGAAGTTGCTGTTGCCAGGGTAGGAAAATTTGGAGAAATAAAGACGCAGAAGACAACCAAGAAATCCCAAGAGGAAAAATATTTAGAAACACAGAGCACAAAAGTTCTCGGAGATGGTTCAATAGAAAATGCCACCAGCAGTGAGCAGAGCCCAAGGCTGGTCACTGCCACCAGAGGGGCTCCTCAGTCCCTTGCTGGTTTATATCTCATCCCTACTTGGCTCTCTCTGCCCCTTCAGCAGACACAGCCCTGCCTGGAAAGGGCTCCATGCTCTGGTGTTCCCAGCTTGCTCCAGGCTACATTTTTAGCAGCACTGAAAGAAGAGGTGAAACAATGCCATTTTTTGTCCTGCTTGCAAACTCTTCTCCTTCAGTGTTATTGCCAGAGATCATCCTTCTGTCAGCTTGGCGCTGTGTCTGCTGCTGCAACCTTGTCCATGTCCCTTCCATCAGCTGCTGCATATCGGCGCTTGTTGTCCCACATGAACTGAGAAGAGCAAAGATTGAATTTTCTTGGTTTTTCCAACAGACACAACAAATCTAAGTCCAATAACTTGGTTGTTTGTTTCAGCCCTCCTCGTAGATAACTCTTTCCTGCTTTAATGCAAAAGGTTCTTTTCCTACATGGATGGAATGTTCTGTAATTGGCAGTTGTTTCAGGCTGTTAGGCACTATGGGACTTTTCTGTTGTCTCTGATGGGGATTTGGTGAATTTTCCATTGGTCACTTGGTGGAGGCCCCATGGGCTGAACTCAGCGGCCGACTCTGCTGTCCCCAGGGGATGCATTGGGACGCCAAGCCTCTCAGGGCTGGAATTCGGGGTTGGGCGGGCTCGGAGCGCGCGGGGCCTGGGCCCGTGAGGAGCTGCTGCTGGCGGTGGCTGTGCTCAGCCCGCTGTGCCAAGCAGCCGCGGCCATGGAGACACGGGCGGGAGCTGTGGCCGATGCCGGCAGGCGGCCCGGGCCGGCTCGCAGCTGCGAGGACGCCGGCAGCCTGTGCCCTGAGGCCGAGGCTGTGGCGGGCGCTTTGCGGGCAGGGTTTTTCCGAGGCGGCCGCAATGTGCTGCCTCCCGTGTGGGCCCGGCTGCGTCAGAGGCAGGCGGGAGCGCGGCGGGGCCGGCAGCGGCGGGCAGAGGCCGCAGAGAGCAGCAGCCCGGCCGGGCCCGCTGCGGAGCGGCACGGAGCTGCCGGACAGCCCTCGGCCATGGCTGTGGGCACAGGGCAGGAGCAGAGGCAGGAGCCGCGGCAGGAGCCGGCCATAGCGGCAGCTCGCCGTGCCCGGGGCCGCAGCCGCAGCTCTCCCCTGCCGGCCACAGCAGCAGCCGGTCGCCTCCGAGGCTCCGGCGCTTCCCCAAGACCAAGGGCTCGGCCCCCAGCACGGCCTGGAGCCCCGCAGCTAGAGGAGCAGCCGGCACCGCAAAGGGCAGCGCAGAGGGCGCAGGTTGAGGAGGAGGACATGAGGCTCGCTGTGGGCCGCGCTGGGGCAGCTCTGCCCTCTCGGCCTTCGCCTTGAGCCTTTTGCTTCTTTTCCAGGAGCCCTGATGCCCGTCCTTGGCAAAGGGCCCCCGCAGCCCTTTCCAGGCGTTCAAGAAAAGCTCTCTCAGTGACAGAATCACAGAGTCAGTGGCTTGGAAGACAGACACCTTCAAGATGATCGACTCCAACCCATGTCCTAACAGCTCAACTAAAGCACGGCACTGAGTGACACATCCAGTCTTCTTTTAAAGGCTTGCAGGGATGGTGAGTCCACCAGCTCCCTGGAAAGGTCTGTCCCAGGAAGAACCAAGATAACACTGGGGCCTTCTACCCCCCAGCATTTGGAGCTCTGGAAGTTTGTCTTTCTGCTTAGGCAGAGGCCATAGAGAAGGGCTGGGAAAAGTAGTCACAACTAGAGTGCCCTATAGAGCTCTAAATAGATATGCAAAGAATACAGAAAACAGTAAAGAAAAAGGCATAACCCAAATGGCATCAGCAAAGTCTTGGGCATAAACACATAGATGCAGATGGTCTTCTCAGCCCTCTTTGTATTTCTGGGAACCAGAGGAATCCTGCTTTGAGCCTCTGGGGAGATGGGTTTGGGAGGTAAAAGTTCATTGCTTTTTTTTTCCTTGGGGCAGCTCCTGTTCGTAGCATCAGCTGAGCCTCTCTCCAGCCTGATGCCTGTTCTGATTGTTGCAGCAAAACAATTGATGGCAGACAGAAGACACTGACACTTGCAAAGATGTGACTTTTTCCAATGCCAGCTGTGAGTGGGAGTCAGAAGACTCCAGAAAGCCCAACTCCATTGGAAGATTGCCTTCCTTTTCATTCTGTAAAGAAGCTCTAGATCCACTTGCGAATTGTCAGTTATTTGTTAAGGATG